CAATCAAGAGTCCTCACTACTACACAGTCTCATTTGATGGCAGGAGGATATAATTCATGTATTATTTTAAAGGGGGAAACTGAAATTTACAATAATTAAATAACGTTACCAATCTTACCCAGATAATAGAAACAGAATTTGAATTCATGCCTTCCCACTTCAGAGCTCGTATACTCTGCTATATATGACCCTCACATAGACACAGAATTAATAGGCATCTTTGACAGATGAAACAATTGAGCCTTCATGACTAAAACATGGAATAGCATTTCTGGAGGCAAAGCATTAGTGTCATCTGGCCTTGTGAAGCAACACAGGCACCTAATAAGCCCATGTCAAGCTTTATTTCTTTCCTGGGAGTTTGAAGTATCTTAAGGAGATAAGATTTACAGACTTCATGGGGTGAGGAAACAAAACTGTAACTCTCATCATTTTGTTCTTTCAGACTCTCCCAAATCTTTGACACAGTCTCCTTACACACTTCCCTGCTGAAAAACTGCATTTTCAAATGGCCAATTACAATCACCACCACTAACTTTTAAAAATTGAGATATAATTTACATGCCATGCACCTCACTTTTCAAAATGTACAAATTAATGGTTTTAATATAATCATGAGGTTATGCAACTAAGTCCAGAATATTTTCATCAGCTCCAAAATAAATTCATACCCAATAGGAGTCATTCCCCTCCTTCCTCTATTCCTTAGTTGGATAGCCATCAGCTCCAGGCCAAGGAAGGCATTTAAGCCCTAACCCTTCATCAGGTCCTGTGCCTATCAAATGTCCTTCCATCTCTATGGTCTCCAACCCTCTCAGAACCCAGAAACCTTCTCTTTGCTTCAGGAAACACAAAGGCCATCAAAGACTCCTCATCTTCCATTTGCCTCTCAAAGTACCAAGCATCCATGCCTTCCCCTCTTTGATATTCATCCCCTCAGTCTGTATAGATCAGAAAACACAAGTTGGTAACCTGTAAGTGAAACCTACAGAAATATGCTTTCAGCTTGCACAATTTTATGGTTTTTTTTTCATGGACTTAACATTTTAAAACTAGAAATTTTCACATAAAAATATAGATTCCCATTTGTATTAAAAACTGGAAAGATCTGGGAGCCAGCCTATGTGCTAACATGGGAATGCCCTTTTAGAATGGGATACTCCAGGCTGGTCCTCCACAGTCCTCCCCAATCTCCTCTGCATTGCACTGACCCTGTATCTCTCACAGAAATATTTGTGTTTTTGACTGTGGTCTATACTTGCAATGACAGATGCTGCTATGTGTTCACTACACCATGTCCCTTTCCTATTTGGGCACAAAGCTAGGCTACATGTTCCCAGACTCCCTTGCAGTTAGATGAGAGCCATGGGACTAAATTCTAGATGACAGAATGAGGGCAGGAGTGATGTTCACCCCACGTGGCCTTGGTCCATAAAAACTTGTGGAATCTTCCATGCCCTCTTTCATCTATTGGCCAGATATAAAGGTCCCCGGATAGGCAGAAAATGGTGGGGATTCAAGACAAACTGGAGCCCTGTGCAGTAGTGTGTATCTGTGGCTGCAGTGCTTGGAAGACTGAGGTTGGTGAATCCAGGAGTTTGAGTCCAGTCTGGGCCACATAGTGAGTCCCTGTCTCTTAAAAGAAATGAGGAAGAAGAAGGAGAAGGAGAAGGAGAAGGAGGAGGAGGAGGAGGAGGAGGAGGAGAAGGAGAAGAAGAAGAAGAAGAAGAAGAAGAAGAAGAAGAAGAAGAAGAAGAAGAAGAAGAAGAAGAAGAAGAAGAAGAAGAAGAAGAAGGAGGAGGAGGAGGAGGAGGAGGAGGAGGAGGAGGAGGAGGAGGAGGAGGAGGAGGAGGGGGGGGGAAGTAGGTGGAGGAGAAGGAAGAGGGAGGAAGAAGGAAGAAAGAGGAAGAGGAGGAGAAGGGAGTAAAAAAGGAGGAGGAGGGAGGAAGAGGAAGGAGGAGAAGGGAGGAAGAGGAAGAAAGAAGGAAGAAGGAAAGAGTAGGAGAAGGAGGTAGGAGGGAAGAAGAAAGAAGAAAGGAAGGAGCAGAAGTGGAAGCAGCAGCCTGAGTCTGGCAGAGCAGAACAGAGTTCCTGTATTGACTGCATTTGAATTGTGAGGTGAGGAAGAATAACTTGGTTTTGTGTTAAGTCACTGAAACCTTTGAGGTGCTTGCTACAGCCTTTAACCTATTTGACAAATACACCTTCCAAGCCACAATCCTATATTGGGGTCATCTTTTGGGTGGGATGGTTCTCCAATTTTTCTCTGCAACATCCAAAATCTATTTCCAATACCCACCCAAACTCTGAAAACAGAAGCTATGTCCTCCAGAGGGAGATAGAAAAAAAATTTTCATTCTTTTGGTACTCTGTGTTTTCCTATTTGTTTCTGACAAGAGCCCTTTTAGGAAGGGACTACCCCCCATTTCAAAGGTAAGAACAACGAAGCTCAGAAAGGTTTTGCAACTTGTCTAAAATCACACATCCAGCTGGTCTTTTGCAGAGCCTGGTCTACCTGTGCTAGCCTGCCTGTCCTGAGCATCCTTCCGGAGACCAGCACACTAATTTACAATGTGATTATGAAACAGCTGCAGCTATACAATGTGCTGCTGCCACTTCAGACCAAATATGGGACTTTTTAAATGGGATCTATCGTACCTTCATTGGAAAAATAACTAATAATCTTATTCCATTAGTAGAGCAGGACGGCGTTGGGGGAAGCCATATTGTGGCAGGGAAGTCTGTTGGTACTCTTCTCTGTGTCCTGCCTGGGCCCTTCAGGGGCACCCCTTGCCCATGACAACAATGCACTTCACCAGGGATTAGTGTCAGCATTCAGATCCTATCACAGGCTCACTCCAGAGTATTTCTAAACATAGCTCTCCAAGTGTTCTAATTTCAAATACCATGTGATCTGGCTTCAAAATTATTTCCTTATCTCTAAAATGGAGACACAAGACTGCAGTGAGGAACAAATCGAATGTAACAGTGCATTAGTTATTGATTGAGGCATAACAAATCACTCTGAAATTTAGTGGCCTAAAATATTTATTTCTTCTTTTAGCTTTTCAGTGAGTCAGGACTCCAGGTATGGTTAAGCTTAGTCCTCTGGCTCTGGGGATTTCATAAGGCTGCAATCAAAATATGGGCTGAAGCTACCGTCATCGGAAGGCTCTCTTAGGAAAGCCCTGTTTCCTAGCTCATTCCCACAGTTGTGGGAAGAATTCAGTTCCACTCAGTCTGTGAGAGACAAGCCTTAGTTCCTCATGAGCTAATGCCTGGAGCGCTCACTCAGTTCCTTGCCACATCGGCCCGTGCACAGAGCATCTCACACCATGCCCGTTAGATTCATCAGAGCAAAAAAGCCAAAAAGAGCCAGAGAGAAGACAGAAATTATGAGATTGTAACTCAATCTCGTAAGTGACATTCTATCACTTTTGCCATATTCTAGTTGTTAGAGACAAATCACTAAGTCTAGCCTACATTCAAAGGGAGATTATACAAGAGTATGGATACCAGTGGGTGGGGATCACCGTAAGCCCTCTTAGAAACTGCCTACCACACTGTACAAATACATTATTCTCAGGCACCCAATAAATGGCAATAGTAATTACTATTACTGTTATTATTGATGATGATGATGATGATGATAAAAATATTATAAGACAACAGATATTTTTGAACCCAGCCAGATTACCTGGGTTAAAATCTCTCCTTAGTCCATCCCGGCTAACACGGTGAAGCCCTGTCTCTACTAAAAATACAAAAGAATTAGCCAGGCGTGGTGGTGGGTGCCTGTAGTCCCAGCTACTCAGGAGGCTGAGACAGGAGAATGATGTTAACCCAGGAGGCGGAGCTTACAGTGACCGAGATTGCGCCACTGCACTCCAGCCTGGGTGACAGAGTGAGACTGTTTCAAAAAAAAAAAAAAAAAGAAAACAATTCTCCTTAGTTTCTCATTTGCTATGTGACTTCAAACAAGTTACATAACCTCTCTCTCTCAGTTCCTCATTTGTAAAATTGAGGTAATAATAGGCTTTATCTCATAGGTTTCTTGTAAAGGTTAAATGTAGCTTAAAACTAAATCATGGTAAACATTTAATATATATTAGTGAACACTGAGATTACTAATTTTGTTATTTCTCTGCCTCTTGCTTAGGCAGCTCAGTTGATCAACTATTGTCACAATAATGCTGCAGAACAAACACCCTCAAAATCTCAGGGCATAAAATCATGACTATTTATTTCTTGCTCATGGAGCATCTCAGGTCCTGTGTCTCTCATCCTCCTATTGGAACCTGTAGTCAACCAGGACATGTTTTTCTCATGACAATAGTAGAAACCCATGAGACAAGCCCCACTGCAAAATCTCACTTCAAGCCCTTGTTGGAGTCACATCTGCCAACAACCCAAACTAAGTCACATGACCAAACTCAAAACCAAGTGTGAAATATATGCTTCCTGTTGGAGAAAGTGCAGTTATATGGGTTTTAGGGAGTGGGATATGGATAGGAAGGATGTGAAACATTGGGGCCAGCAGTTCAATCTTCTATATATACTCGTCTTACACTTTTAGAAGAGAATGGTAGAAGTAATAATGTCTGAAACGTGGTAGTGGAGAATAGAGAGTTAGAGGGAAATAAACATATGCCAAGTATTTGCTAAGCTGAACACTATCTAGGTTTATTTCAGCATCACAACTCCTTACCTGTGTATATAGTTGACCCTTGACTGATTTTTTTAAAATGAAACATACAAACTTTATTAAACAAAAGTAGCAGGTAAAGTCGAACAGGCACTTACATTAAGAGAAAAACTGACAGGAAGAACTTTTATCTTAAACATCTTACACTAACCTACTTGCAGTTGTATTTAACTTGCAGTTGTATTTAACTACTGCAGTTGCATTTAAGCTACAGCACTTTACTTGTCTCTTGTCATTTAACCTTTACGAGAACCCTATGACATAAAGCCTATTATTACCTCATTTTTACCAATGAGGAACTGAGCTCTGTTGCTATGAAGAATACAGCTCATGCACAGGTATGGATGAGAGATTTGTACATTTCTTGAGTATTCACTGAATACTACCTTACATACATAGGTACATTAAATTTGAAAAAGATTTGACGATTCCCAGATAAACTTCATTTTTGTTGATTTTTTTGAAGAGATTGTCTAAAGAGAAGAATATGTGGTTCTGGCTCATGAATCATGTCATGAACCCAACCTAGACTCTGTTGGACGCCAAGTCTCCTCCACTCCTCTTCAGATGTCAGATGAGTCAGATGAGTCATAAGATAGGTCGACCCTTGATCAATTGTATACACAGATAAGGAGCTGCGATGCTGAAATGATACCATTCACAGGGGATGGGATCTAAGACCTCCAAGGATACCAATCCACGGATGCTCAAGACCATTATATAAAATAATATAGTATTTACATGTAACCTACACACATCCCCTGTTATACTTTATCATCTCTAGATTACTTATGATACCTTATATGGTGTAAACACTGTATAAATCATTGTTATACTGTATTGATTTTTATTTGTATCTTTTTTGATTTTTTGTTTATTTTTTTGGATATTTTCGATCTGTGGTTGAATCTGGGGATGTGGAACCCACAGATATGGAAGGTCAACTGTACTATCTTCATTGTTTAATTCAAGAAACTGAGGCATAGAACATTGCCTGTGGCTTGCCTGAATCTAGTTTTCTTCTTAACACCCCACCCACTGCTGTGGGATGCTTGACCATGTATAGATATGGTCACTGGGAAGGGAACTTGGGGCTGGGACTGGCCTTCACAAGGCAACTGGTCTTGATCACCACTACATGAGGAAGGTCTTTATTTCTAGATGGCCACAGTTTTAACAGTTAGAGGGAAGATCAGAGATTATCATCCACCCCTCTCATTAGCTAAAGAAACTGAATGTCAGAGAACAGAAGGCACCAAATGAATGGGTGGTAAAACCAGGATTGGAAACTCATCTCTGGAGCTCCAGGGCTTTTTCCAGTTTCTCCAACTACTCCTCAGTGTAGGGCTCTAATCCCTGTCTAAATGCAAATTTCCCTGGGAAGAGGGCTTCATCTGACCTTTGTATTGAATGTGATTAACAGTGGAAAGCAGAGTCTGCAAATATTTAAGTACCTGAGGAATAAAGATTAGCCCCAGAAAAGATACGACTCTGCCCACCTCCTGCTGAACCTCGTTACTGTAAGTGACTACGCAAAGACCTTAATCAGCGCTCAGGTACAGATGTGACCACGGCTTCATCTAAGTTAACTATAGAAGGGGAGCTCTAGAGGTACCATAGAGATCCTCTCCTAAGGAACAGAGATTTAAAAGGCTTGTCTGGAGTCGCACCACAAATCAGAGACAAAAGAAAGATTAACTTTCATTTCTATGATCTTCAGGGCAATGTCATGTCTCTATACCCAGTCAGGCAGTATTTGGACCACTCTTTCCCAAGTGCGCAATACAGTCGCTGTCCTGCTTGTTGAACCTGTAGACGACGTTTATCTCCAAATGAGCCTTTAAAAGCAACATGTGTTCTTAAAAAGGGAGTGGGTGAAAGAATCTACTTAAGACTCACAACCTTAATAGTCATTGATGGTTTTTTTCTCCCAATTTAATTACATTGCAGGACATATTTGGCTAAGACACAGCTACTTATGATGTCTACATAAATAACATGATCAGGTAAGTTTCAGTTCACTCTTCTCTTGATTCTACTTTTACTTCTAGATTAATATTACTTTTCAGCCAGTCTCAGTGGCTCATGCCTGTAATCTCAGCATTTTGGGAGACCGAGGTGGGCGGATCACTTGAGGCCGGGAGCTGGAGATCAGCCTGGCCAACATGACAAAACTCCATCTCTACTGAAAATACAAAAAATTAGCCAGACGTGGTGGTACACAGCTGTAATCCCAGCTACTCGGGAGGATGAGGCACAATAATCACTTGAACCTGGGAAGGCAGAGATGGCTGTGAGCCGAGATCATGCCACTCCACCCCAGCCAGAGCAACAGAGCAAAGCTGTCCAAAAAAAAAAAAAAAGAAGAAGAAGAAGAATATAACTTTTCCTGTCTCATTTGTAATGTGATAGCAAAGTAAGTGACAAGGTTTAATTGTCTCTGGAAGAAAAGCTTTTAAAAATGTATTCTGTAATACGCAACATATTTAGAGCTTACGATAAGCAATTTCTCTCAGGAGGAAGTTTTTCAAGGAAAAAAAAAGTGACTCTAAAAGTAATTTCAGCAGCAAAGTAGATTAAATATCCACCATATTAGTCACAGAGCATTAGATGGAATTGAATTGACTGAGCAGAGGTCAAAGAGTGGCTGAAGTTTTTAGCCCACCAGAGGAGCAATAAAATCCAACCATACTTAAAATCATTAACTTTAAACCCTTTGATATGAGATCCAAAACCTCGGTGCTCATACTAGGAACTTCCAAATGCCATGCCTGGTAAAAGAATAAATCCCTTCAAAAGATCTACATTTCATGAAATACTTTAAGGGGAGTAGAAAGCAACAGAAAGAAACTGGAATTTCCAGGTTTCTCTAAAAAATCTCCAAAAATGTATTTCTGCAAGGCTTATTAAACAAACTTCTGTTCCACCTTCCAAAACGTTCTCAGGCCAGTGTGCTCCAACTGAACGTAATCTGTCAAAGACTTAAAGTTGATTTCTGGAAAGAAAGGCAAACCTCATGGGTGTGACCTTTCTCCTTTCCCTTCCCTCCTCTCAGCCCTAGCAAAGGTCTGAATCCTCATGGCCACCCTTCTGGGAGGTCCTGAACTCATACCTGAGGGGCAGTGACTTCAGGGTTCTTTGGTTTTGTTGTACTGTTTTATTTGTAACAACATCAAACTGGCTACAAGTCACCTAAAAAGGCACACTGTGTGAGAAATCTAAGACCTATAGTGCCCTTGCACAGTCAAAAGGAAAGTAACTTGAAGTAAGTCTCTGAACTTAGAAGTTGATCAGCAGAGACAACACAAAATTGAAGCAATGACTGGCAAGTAAACATACTGGAGAAAGGGTCTCATATTATCAAGCTAATTCCTAAATAACAGACAGTGAAGGACAAAAGATAAATGCAGCTTTCCTAACCATTAAACAACTTCTCTGTTCTTTCCTCCATTTGAAACTAGTTTGCTCGTCATTGCTAAGTGCACTGAGTTCTGTATCCATTAGTTAACAAAATCAATTTTTGAATAGCTATTAAGGGTGCAAGCAGTGTGTCAGTAAATGATGTGATGTCCTCTTTACAGGTGGTTATAGGGAAGAATGAAATGCTGATTTTAGGGGGAAATTTTGCTTTTAATTACCACTGTATGTATAACTAAACTGAAATTGTTTGTTCCTGAGAAAGCAGGTAGTTGATAGAATTTTCTGAGTGCTCAGACTAATGTACCTTCGGAATAATGTTTTAGGAAAAAATATGTGTGCGGTTGGGCACGGTGGCTCACGACTATCATCCCAGCACTTTGGGGGCCGAGGCGGGTGGATCACTTGAGGCCAGGAGCTCAAGACTTGCCTGGCCAACACGGCAAGACCCCATCTCTACTGAAAAAAAAAAAAAAAATTAGCCCGACATGGTAGCACATGCCTGTAATCCCAGCTACTCCAGAGGCTAAGGCAGGAGAATTGCTTAAACCTGGGAGGCAGAGGTTGCAGTGAGCCAAGATGGCGCCATTGCACTCCAGCAAAAGAATCTGTCTCGGATTTAAAAAAAAAAAAAAAAATGTGTCCAATAAAGGCAAATGTATGTGAATTTGAGTGATGAAAACTACAGCATTTTAAAAGACAGTGAGCATTACATTGCTGAGCAGGCAGTAAAAGTTCAACTTTTGACAGCATGAGGAGAAACAGGATCTCCAAACACTAAGAGTTGGATCAGGAACAGACACATCCCCATGTGGGTTTAGCTGCTCTTGCACGGGCCAAAGAACCACCGCTAAGCCGTGAGGTTGGGCAGAACCACGTACGATTAGGAAGCTACTCTGGAATGTGAGAAGCTGTGCTATTATAATTCAATTAAGAAGCATTTATATTGAGAAAGGATAGTCCTATGAAAAGTTAGGAGACCTAAATAAGCCTGTATGTGTAAACAAGCCTGTATGTATGTGTCTGTGTATGCATTTATGACATATATGGCATCTGTGAGGGATTTTCTAAAACTTTAGTAGGAAGCCAGGCGCCGTGGCTCACTCCTGAAATTCCAGCACTTTGGGAGGCCAAGGCAGGCGGATCACCTGAGGTTAGGAGTTCAAGACCACCCTGGCCAACACAGTGAAACTCCGTCTCTACTAAGAATACAAAAATCAGCCGGGCATGGTGACTGTAGTCCCAGCTACTCGGGAGGCTGAGGCAGAACTACTTGAACCTGGGAGGTGGGGGCTGCAGTGAGCCAAGATAGCACCACTGCACTCCAGCCTGGGCAACACAGTGAGACTCTGTCTCAAAAAAATAAATAAAATAAAACTTTAGTAGGAGAGATTTAGGAAGGGAATTGCATAGATTATTCACCACTCATTGACTGTGTGAGTTTGTACAACCGGCTTCACTTTCTTCTGCCTCATTTTATGTGTCTGTTAGATACAGGTCATAGTAACAGTTCTAATATTATGTGGTTATTGCAAAGATTCACTGAATTAATACATGTAGGCATTAGAACAATACTTGGTACATACAAAGCACTTAAATATTTGCTTTTATTATTATTTTTTTTTTTTAGTAAGTACTGAATACACATGGTACACAATTTAAAAGGCATGAATTGATACATGGTGAAAAATAAGTTAGCTTTCTATCACTATCCCCTGCACTCTCAGTTCTCTTCCCTCAGGCAGTCATGGTTACCAGATTTTCATGTAAACTTTTAGAGATATTATATACATGTAATATGTGCATGTCTATACTTTAAAGAAAATCAATGGTGGAATACTCTGAACATCATTCTGCACTTTGCTTATTTCACTTAATATCCATTTTGAAGATATTTTCATATCAGTTCTTATAGGAAAAGACCTGCTCACTTCCATAGCAATATATGGTATTTTATTAAATATAAGTGCCCTGATTTATTAAGCAGTTCCCTTTGGATATACATGTAGATTGTTTCAATCTTTTGCTGTCATAAACAGTGTTTCAGTGTGCCCATGTAAATAGACATCATTGTGCATATGTATGTTTATATCTGTAGGAAAAATGCCTACAAGTGAAATTACTGGGTCAAAGAATATGTATATGCCTGATGTTGACAAAATTGTTCAACTGTCTGAAAGGAGATCTTCAGATGTGCATGATACTTTGTCCAGTTAAATTACATTGCAAACAAAAGATATTTCATGTCATAACTGTTTTGAGAGTTGGAGTCTTATTCTGTCACCTAGGCTAGAGTACAGTAGCACAAACATAGCTCACTGCATCTTCGACCTCCTTGGCTCAAGTCATCCTCCCCCTGCAGCCTCCTAAGTAGCTGTGACTGCAGTCATGCACCACCATGCATGGCTAACTTTTAAATTTTTGGTAGAGATTGGGGTCTCACTATGTTGCCCAGACTGGTCTCAAACTCATGGCCTCAAGCAATCCTCCTGCCCCAACCTCTAGAGTCAGTGGGATTACAGGTGTGAACCACTGTACCTCCCCTCATATAATAATTTTTAAAGGAAGAAATCTATCTGCCATCCAATATCACTTGATGTAAAATGCCTTATAATTTTAAAAAGATTATTTGTAATTATTTTTACCAAGTCATCTTCTCCTCCAGAAGTTATACAGCTAATGAAGTAAGTTTGCTCAGTCTGGATACCTATGGTAGATTGTGTGTCTGTAAAATTTACCCTGGTTACATTATAAAAATAGAATTTAGGGCTGGAAGTCAACAGAGAAATTATTTCTCCAATCCTCTCATCTGACAGATGAGAACTTAAGGGACACCTGGTTTAGGTTATGTACCCATGGTGAGATGTGGCACCAGTGGCAGGAAAAGGCCTAGAAGTCGGGGGCCCTCATTCAGGGTCAGGCCTCCCTCTTCACACTTGATTGTCTCTTCCCATATTTTAGAATCTGGATACCTCATGAAGCCCAAATCAGAAGACAAGAAGTAACATTCAAACTATATAAGAGTAATTTTTTATAATTAGGCAGGGATTAGGGGTGGCAATGGTGGGTAAAGACTGCAATTCACATATCTATGTGTCTAACTGGGATAGCGAGGAAATAAATAAGGTCCTCTGAAAATTATGTCTAACAACAAATATTGAGGACATCAACAGTTGTGTCAATAAAATCAACATTTCTATGGTTCTTCTCTGATGAGGTACGCAAAAATATCTCTTTATGTCTTTTATATCTTTAGACATACGAAATGTTTCATTTCCAGAGAGGTTGTACATATAGTTTTCTGAAGAATAAAATATTTTTCTTGAGCAAAATTCAGTGAAATGAATGTAATAGCACTTAATACATAAGCTAAAGCTTATTTCATAGGTAGCAAAAAAACAAATTCTCCCCTCAAATTCAGAAGTTCTCCCTCAAAATATAACTCCCTTTGAGGTGCACTTTCTCAGAAGGCAGTCAACAGTAGTCAAATATTTGTACAGCACCCATTTTAACGTTCCACATAGAAGATGACAGGCTGGGAGAATTAACTGTAAATCAAGAAACTGGTTTTTAGCATTAACATCAAAAACATGAATATCATCTTTTTATTATAAATAAGTAATTGTATTTAAAATTAGACTCGTTTACATAACATAAATTCATATCTGATGAAAGGAAAAACATAAATAATCAAAACACTCCACAGCATCCCTTAAGAGAGGCTGAAGAACAGTGTTTAAGAAATACTATCTGTGACTTCCATAATGAGACAGCAGCATCATTTTGTTTCCTACGATACAAGATTCTCCATAGAACATCTTTTATTTACCCCATACATAAAACACCAAAGCTAAAAGTTGATGTGGCCTCACATAAAATTAGCTCTGCTACAAATCCCAAACCATGTACATAGAGTGACTAATTATTTCCCTGCTTATTTGGCTGGTATCATTAGAGTACATCTCATTTTACTGTTTTTGTATGTGCTTTTACATGTTTCTCCAATTTGATATTATCTGTTACAAACAGTCAGCTACTTACCGGCTGCTTCCAAAGTATTTTATAACAAGCCCAGGCGGGTGCTTAATGAGCCTATTACAAGAGCTGCAGGGAGAAGAGGCTTTTGTGAGCCCCTTTCTGCCTGTCCCCTTTTGAGTTTATAAGGTGGGAGAAAGCTGTCGAGAGCAGAGTTTAAATGAGCCTTTGCTGGCTGATCTACCTGTGAATAGGACTGGTGTGTTTCAGTTAGAAAGTGAGTGGCTCCAGGGAGCATCTTTTAGGGCTTAATTTGGCAGCTGCATAAGCCTCCTGACTGGGTGCTTCCAGAGCCTGGGCCCTTCCAGAGTCTGGACAGATAAATTCTCACCTTCACACCAAGCATAAACTTGAGCAAAAAACTCTTTTCTGGACTCTGATGTCAGTCTGCTTCTTAAAGAACAGGGTCTAGTCCCATAAATTCTACTGGATATAAATGATTAGATTAGACTCAGTGCCATAGTAAAGACTCCTAAGAGCTGAGGTCAGAGCAACCAGCAATTTTATCCTACCTCTGCCCCTTACCAGCTCTGGGACCTTGAGCAAGTTACTTACTAAATCTATTTGTGTTTCAGTTTCCTCATCTGCAAAATAGGCGCGATAATCATGCCTCCCTCAATTGCTTTGAGGATTAAGTGTTGCATGTAAATTACTTACTTTGCACAGGTTTCTTATTGTCTGTGGCTGCTCCCAGTACATAGTGAGTGTTTTCTGTGGGAAGTACAGATTCATATCCTCCTCACTGCCCACCAGAGAGCCAGTAAAAAGAGGGGACACCCAAATGCTTATTTGAATAAAATTTCTAAGTGTGTTAACACACTACAGTTGGTTCAAAAAAAAAAAAACTTAACACAAAAAATAGCAATTTTTTATTTAAAAAATTTACAAACCCTTGTATCAAATATTATGTTTATTGCCTAATAATGTATTTTGTTTTATTTTGTTATTTGCTATTGAATTTCTCCAACACTATCATCCCAGTCAGAGCAGGTAGCCCAGCCCTTTGTATTTTTGTATTTCTCTATCCAAAAAGTTTTCTAGAATTGAAAGTAGATATTCAAGGACTCTTTCTGTATTTTGTGAAAGATTAAACAAGGCTGGATGTGGTGGCTCATGCCTGTAATCCCAGCACGTTGGGAGGCCGAGGCAGGTGGATCACTTGTGCCCAGTAGTTCGAGATCAGCCTCAAACATAGCAAAACCCTGGGCAACACAGCGAAACCCTGACTCTATGAAAAATACAAAAATTCACCAGGCATGGTAGCATGCACGTGTAGTCCCAGCTACTCGGGAGGCTGGGGTGAGAGGGTCGCTTGAGCCTGGGAGGCAGAGGTTGCAGTGAGCTGAGATTGCACCACTGCAGTCCAACCTGGGCAACAGAGTGAGACTTTGTTTAAAAAATAATAATAAAAGCTAAACTAGGATACTCACATGGGTGTGTGGTGTGTGTGTACATAGCGTTTGTGTTTCTGTGTGTGTGTTTTACATTGAATTTGGAAGGCTTTAGGCATTCAGTTACTCTCCAGCTACTAAAGCCCCCAGCCCTCTCTTTCCTTTTATACCTAATCCACTTAGTGTATTTATTCTTACCTCTTTGCCCCTAGAGGACTTTGACCCAGCAGTCCTGGAAGCTCACGAAGACACTGTGCTGTGATCCTGGAAAGAAAGGGAAGAGAGAGAAGGCCACGTATGGTGGCTCACACCTGTTATCTCAGCACTTTGGGAGGCCAAAGTAGTAAGATTGCTTGAAGTCAGGAGTTCAAGAAAGGGAAGAGAGGAGCACTGTAGGTGAAGGCTGAGGCAGAGCTTTCTCTGAACTAAAAGAGGCCAGATGTTGGCAACAGTGCCTCTGCGGGAGAAACTGAGCCCTGCACTATGTTCGAAACAGAAGCTCAAAGGGGAAACCCCAGAAAGAAACTCCCAAAGTCACCCCTGATTCTTCCACGTCCCAAACCTGATATAAAAGCCATGAAGCCACTGGACCGAGTGACCATGAGGCAGCAGCCCCTGAGAGTGTCAGAATTCAAGTATGACTTGGTGGCCTGTGATAGATGGCCAGCTAAGGAAGCCTTCCTAATATCTTGGTGCTGTGTCACTCCCCAGGAGCTAGGCCAACTATGGGAATGAAGAGGAAATGGAAAAGAACCCAGAACGCCTGACCACCAACCCAGCAGGATGGCTGCTGGGGTCTTATTAAATTAGTAAAAAAGAAAACAAAAGTGATTTGTCAAGTAAGTCACAGCTCACTTCATCGCTATCTTTTTTACCGTGATCTATTTTATGCTGAATTAAAGAAAATAAATGCTACACTGCAATAAGAGAATGTTACAATTATGCTACTATATCTAAAGTAAGCGTGTGTGTTAGAGGCCATTTCAATGTTGAAAATTTTGAGGTTCAGACCTGCTAAGCATTCTCCCTCCTTACAAGTGCTGTCCTCTGGCCCATTAGGGTAGTGGCCTTATTAAACAAGAATATACTTATAACCCAGGCAGGACATGCATTCTGCAGTTGACCATGGGCCTAATTGGAGGCCCCATATGCTTTTGATACATGCCAGCCACAAAAGCATTTGAGTTTTATTTATTTTCTTTTTTTATTTAATTTTTTAAAAATTGCTGTGGGTACATAGCAGCTGTATATATTTATGGAGTACATGAGACGTTTTGATACAGGCATGCAATGTGAAATAAGCACATCAGCATTCTGAGTTTTACATTCAGGATGTAGAAACCCCAGGGGCAATGCTTTCAGATACCCTGACTCCCTATGCTGAATTCCACCTTCACTCCATCTCACTGACTTGGTTTTAACATGAATTTAAAATGCATTCTTTTCCTTCTCTAAGTAAATGAAACTGGTAGGGTTTATTTGAAACAGAAAGTGTTGGTGGAGCACGGTGGCTCAGCACTCGGGGAGGCTGAAGCAGGAGATCACTTGAGCCCAGGAGTTCAAGACCAAGTTGGGCAGCATAGGGAGACCCCATTTATATAAAAAATACAAAAACTAGCCAGGCATAGTGGCACCTGCCTATAGTCCCAGCTACTTGGGAGGGTGAGGTGGGAAGATGGCTTGAGCCCAGGAGTGGGAGGCTGCAGTGAGCCATCCACGATCCAGCCTGGGGGACAGGGCGAGACCCTGTCTCAAAGAGAGAGGAACAGAGAGAGAGGGAGAGAGGGAGAGGAAGAAAGAAAAGGTCTTCACAAGTAGCTCAAAAACAACATTTGTCTTCCAATCAATCTCTCCAGTATATTTTGGTGACTAAATATTTTACTCTACTTTTGTCTCCAAATGTGTTTTCCTTCCTTCCTTTCTTCCTTCCTTCCCTCCTTCCTTCTTCTCTCCCTCCCTCCCTCCCTCCCTTCCTCCCTCCCTCCCTCCCTTCCTCCCTCCCTCCCTTCCTTCCTTCCTCCCTCCCTTCCTTCCTTCCTTTCTTCCTTCCTTCCATCCTTCCTTTTTTTTCTTCCCTGAGGAAAGCAATGCTTTATTCATATCTTTGGTCCAACTAATGAAAGCCTCAAAAAATAAAACTATTGCTAATTACCCCTGTGACTTAATGACTGACCACCAACGGGATCCAGACCAGATTCAAGTGTGATTCGCATTGTTGGCTCATGTCTGAACTCTTCACCCTTAGGCTGTATAATACAGTTTGTTACAAGCCACAGACTTTTTCTATTATGCCGAAAGAGTTTAATTTCATGTTTTCTGTGTTTCAGTTACGTCACTGCCATTTTTAGGAGAAATTGTGATCCTGTCACCCTTTTCCAGTAGAAGAGATGTGGCCTGCTCACAACGCAGATTCACCTCCAATAGTGACCTCCTGAGCAAAAAGAGAAATCCATTTCCATGTTCATTTGGGCCTTTGGCCTGCCTACTGAGTAGGCCTGCAAGGCTGAAAACCATGCTAATTACATAAGTGATTTAATTTCGATAATGTAAGAGCTGACCATTAGATATCAAACCAGATTTGAGAGGGATTTGCTCTGCTTCATGATGTCAGAATTGTCCACCATTAGGCTGCTTCATGCAGACTTTCTTTTTTTTTTACTAGTTGAAAGTATTTATAAATAATTTCAAAGATTAAAAAACATCAAGAAATTTTAAAAGTCAAAAGCATACCAAGGTTCTTGTGTGTAGATAATATACAAACGTAAAATAGAGAGGGTTTGTACCAGACCTTAAAATGTGATTGATTTAGAGGCTCAGGTATGATTAACTTGATTTTTTTTATTTTTATTTTTTTTGCTTCTGACACAAACTAATCATAGAAAATGTCTTTTTCCAACCACTGTAGAGTTTAGTTTGGGGTACCTTGTAGAAAATTGATCCCAGCTACTGTGGATATAGTCAAGAAGAGACATCATTTCAAATGTTTGATGTGATCCATTAGGAAAATTCCAAATATTGCCACAGGTTAATCTTACCCTGCGTAGCAAAGTGGTTTCTTTCCTGCAAAGATTAGTATCCTTAAGATTTATTAAATCCTGCATCAACTGTATCTTGTTGTTTTCTATTGAGGTTTATTCAACACCGAGTAGTCTTTCAGGACAGAGACATAAAGATCTGCTGTCTCAGTTCCAAACACACTAATCTCATATCTTTCCATCAGAATTTCTTCTCATATGTTTTATGGAAATGTGGAAATATTCAAAAATAACCAATATTCACTTCATCAGTTTGACAGCATGAATGGAAGTCAATAGAAGCGAGGCATCCTTTTCTCTAATAGGACACAGACTTCTGTGTGGTTTGATTTTTGATGACACCAATCACCAAAGCATAACTCTGAAACTGACTCCTACTCATTCTCAATTTGGCATCCTATCCCTACCCCTATAATTCACTTCTGGGGCAGAATTGTGGTCATTTCTAATAGCACCCACAGTTACTTAATTACTAGAGTAATTGGTCACTTGTGTACTCACAATCAGAGGCAAATGCTTGATTTCCACTGCAAACAGCTGGTATTATTTTTTTTAGCAGAATTTCTACCTGAAATTAGAAACTGCCACCCAAATCGGAGGTGCAAAAAATGATTTACCTAAAATTTGGGCAGAATCAATTTCTCATTTTGATAATGGGAACTAGTAATTGAGAGAAAATAAATAATGAGCATTGTTTCTGTGACCTTAAGAAATCTCTGCAGGAAATAATGAAAGGCAATTGTACTAGGGATGTGGTGAAGGGAGAGAAAGGAAGAAAGGAAGATACAGAGGAAGGAAAGGAGAGAGACAGACAGATGAAAGAGAGGAGAATCAACAATTCTAGAGAAAAATAATACCACCTTATCAAAATGTGCATGCTACCTTACCAAAGCATGCCTGACTTCAATCATTTAAATCAGAACTGCAAGAATGAGGCTCAATTGATCAATGTCTTTTCCCAGATAACAGAGGAGAATGCTTAATATCCCACTATATTTTTTTTGTTCTTAAAAACTACCACCTCCATGCCTGTAGGCTTTTCTCCCCCTAAAGATGTCGTGGGGCCTGGGGAACCACTTAAAGTTCCTTGCCATGCTTGCCCAAGAAACACAAAGTGTTGGTGAAGTATAAACAGAGAGCGCTTTTTCTTTGACCCACTCTGCAGTGTGATGGGGTAGTGTTGTTAGTTTATGTGAGAGAAAATAGCATAGGCTTTCTGAAAAAAAGTGGAATTGGATTAGGGCCTTTGTGCACGCCTCAATGCTGAGGGGAATTAGCAAGAGTTGTAGGCACTTAAAGGGGCCCTCATGCTGAAGCTTATCCCAGATTTTGCACAATAAACATTTGAATATCAACAGTGTTTTGCAACTTGCAGCACTAATGTATAAACTTCTCTCTTTTGAAACTCCCAAATCCTTCCAAATGTCTGTAACACCCTCTACATAAACATATAGGAGCTAGGGTAGAAAACACCTAGTCAATGATGTAAGTCTGCTTTTAAAAAGATCTTTCTCCTTTTCCATCTTCAGGATCTAGAATGTTTTATAATGGTTCGTTGGTTTAAGGACTTTAGATGCTCTATTTAATTTTAATCATTCCACTTTCTTTCAGGCTTTGCATCCTGATATGGGGGATGGGGAGTGTCCAGGAATGGATAAGGATGTGTGGTTGAGTTTAGAACTGTTTCACCAAGATTTTTGTTTTGTTGTTGTTTTAAATATCGGACTCCTTAAAGAGTCTTGTTTTACAAAGAATCCTTCTGAGGGTTTCAAAAGTAAATTCACCTCTGCAAGGAAAGAATGATTTTGTCTGTTAAAGTCTGCTGACTACCTCTTTGGAAATCCACATATGCGAGCCAGTTCCCACCCTGAAAACTAATCTGATACTCAGTCATCCTAACGGAAGACAGTAGGCTGATTTTGTAGTAAGAGCATCCAACATCAAACAGTTATTTGATGTTCCTGATATTAAGCAAGCTCTATTTTTCTCTTTAAAAATTTCAAACTCCCCAAAGTGAATTCAAAATATTGTAGAGCCTTGACGGAGGCTGAAAGGCATTAATTTCTCTCTTCTGAAATCGATCAGCAGACAGACATACTATTTTGTTTTCTGAGAAGAGGATATTTGCTTTTGGTTGCTGGTATAGCAGAATTCTTCCCTTCAGTTCTTTGTGTAATCCATTATAGCAATGGTGTCACTTTATAAGATTTGATGCTCTTAATTTTGTACTAAAGCAAACACTTGGGATGCAAGCACATTTTTCATCAAAATCTACATCGGCAGTTTATGGAAGTTAATGAATAAATGGATCCCCTTCTTGCTTTCCAGCATGTGTTATCTAGAGATGATTCTAAGCAACTCAGCCTGGCAGTAATGTATTCCATCCAATTGAGGAGTTTGCAGGAAAATATATCTACAGTGACCCAACAGAGTAGTAAAACACTTGTTTGAAATTATTTTTTGTAACTGTGCTCATTTCATGCCTGAAAAGACGGTGGTAAAAATCTCATTGCACCAGGAGCTGGTTGGGGGGCTGGGGGGAATGAAGACATAACTGTTCTGCCCAGCTCTGAGGCATGTTGAAGCAGTTTGCCTATTGAATTTGATACAATGATGTGTAGATGAATAAAGTTATCTCCGGTTCTGAATAGGATGGTGTCAGTGGGAGGGTAAGAAGGGGGGGAACTTGGAATCTGAAAAGAATTCTTTTTTTTTCTTTTTCTTAAAAAAAAAAAAAAAAGAACTTGAAGGTCAGGGTCCAGCTGCCGGGCAAGAGTAGAACACAACAAAATGCTGGACAGGCCTAAATAAAGACAACTATAGACACCCAGACACACATATTGCAAAAGTTGCTTGCTTCAAGTAACTAATGTATTAACATATATTTCTATAGGCAGAGAGCTATTTTTCCCTTTAGGCTGTCTTAGACTCTGATGAAAACGTAGGAACATCAAGAGCATCTGTAAAAATTACAGCTTTAATGAAACAGATGAAACAGGCCATCAAAGGTAGGAGAAAAGAAGAAATTCTAATGATTATGGCTTAATTCTAATAGATTATAATTATTATGATTGGTATGAACCAGTTTCTGACTGACATTCCATTTTCCCCCATTTAAGCTTTCATTTAAAAGGGGGGTAGGGGGGTGGGCAGGGGAAAAAAACTAACAGCCACTAATTATTCTGCAGGATTTGCTGCTTAACTCAATACAAGGCCTTTAATCAAATAGAGTAAAGAGATAAAACCTTTAAATGTGAATCATCACACAGATACACACTTTTCCTTATCCTGTTCTTTTTATATTGGTTTGAAAAGTTAACATTTTGATTTCTAACCATTCCAGTTCTGTGATATAAGGAGATGATCTGAAGAATTTTCGGGTGGTCAGATGGATTATGACTAAAAGGTTGGGAAGTTTATGATAAATCAACTTGATCATCTAATAAATGTCTGTTGTCTGTTCTTACTGCTGTTGATTGCTTTTTTTATTTTTATTCAAATATGCTGTTATTTTCCAAGAGGTACACTAATGATTGTTAAACACTTATTTTGGTTCAGATGATGCTCATATGTAATCTGATAAGTTTTTTAGAAGACAGAGAGAATGAGAAAAAAAGAGATTGGAGTAGGATAGGGGAGGTGCAGCCTAAAGGGTCTGAAAAATATTAGTTCCCACTGCCATGTTACAGCTGGTTCTTTTCTAGGGAGATATGTCAGCAAAAAAAAAAAAAAAAAAAAAAATCTCAAAAATCAAGTTTTAGACTATATACATGTATTTATTTATTTTTACTTTCATCTTAAGGTATTTTAGGGAAATCTTCTCTCCTACCAGATTGACAACATGCTACATAAGAGTTTTTTTTCTCTGTATCTTGCACACTAGTGTGGTGAATTAGTCAACTACAATTTGCCCAATCATGGAAAATCAACATTAATGAAAATCTTATTTTTCTGTATCTTGGCCTCAGAATTGTGTAAGTCCGGAGCCGAAACCTGAACTTACAATTGTAAATATTAATATATATTCTTGAAAGGATATTTTCATAGAAATTAAATTTTATTCTATACTCACAATACAGGGAAAAGTGTCTTACAAGTTGAAAAGTATTTCACATCAATGAAGAATCATGAAAACACTAATAATCATGCATAATAACCTGCATTATCATATTAGCTTGCATTACAATCTTGCATATTTCTACATTTTATCAAAGTCATTTATACTAGTGCTTCTTCTTCCATTCTGTAATGGAAAAAAAAAAAAGCAAAACAGGAACAATCTGTAGATTTAACTGGGTTAAGCTATAGGGTGGCAGCATTTTTTTATTCACGACAGTTGTTCTGTACTTCTACCAAAAAAAAAAAAAATTGGATGAGTTTCTGCATCCTGCGTGTTGCCATTAGGCTATTGACACCCTATTGTGTGGTTGAGAGAGGTAAAGTAACCCAGGAGATTATTCAGAATGTGAGATTGTAAATGTTTCTTAAAGATGTCTTTACAGAAATTATAGCTTCTCTCGTGTGGTCTTCCAGGCTGCAGTGTACAGCCGTGGAGTTGCAGTTGTTAAAGGCAGGATTGGTAGCATGCTGTGTTTAATGCAACTCTTACCAACAACTCGCAGAGATTAGGAGACTGGCAGAATGATGTCAATGGAGGTTTAAGGGCTCTGCTTTCTGAAGTTGTTCGGAGTTAATAATTAATGAAAATCTTTCTTTGATGGCTCTTTTATATTTGGATGCAGCTGCCTGAAAATCAACCACAAAGGAAACTTGATTTTGTTTGTCATTAATTTTGACTTTGCTTAACAAATGTTTTTGTGCGCATCATAGCCTTCCTAATTTGGCCTCGGTTTAATGTGGAGATGAAATCTTTGATTAACAAAACTGTTTTAATTTTCAGGGGTTGGTGACAGCGTTTTTTCTTAGAGTTAGTATGTTCTCAGTAGTTTTGAAATCTTTCAGATGGGCTCAATCCAAGTAGCAGTTCAGTGGCGATGCTAATTTTCATGCAATATGTTCACAGAGGAGTTCCTATGCTCATGCAGTGTAAGAATGTATTCTGAGTTCCCTTAGC